GGGTATTCGTATGTGGGTGTATCTGCATGTGGGCCTGGAGACGGATAGAGGAGTGGTGTCTCGGTTCCTAAGACCATTGAAAATATGTGTTTTCCAATGGTCTTAGGCGACCCCTGTGAAAGGTTGAGAACCACTGTTTTAGATGGTGTTTGGAATATAATTCTGTTTAAGTATATTAAATCCAGGGGAGAAGAAACTGTGAAGTTTACTTTGTAACATTTTGATAATCATTTAATTAGTAAATTTTATTTCTAAGAAATAGGTATTCTGCCTCCCCAAATTGCATTTATAGGAAGAATGAAAGAAATAAATTGTATAGAAAATCACTAATGTTTTTAACATATTTGCATGGAGGAAATTTTACTGTTTTAGAAGTTATCTATGGCCCTGAAGACTTACTTTTCTAAAACCTCAAATTAAATTCATTTTCAATTTTCCACTGACCAATATATCTCTAAGCATTGTTTATAATTAACACTAAGAAAAGTGCCACATTGAATAAATTTGGCTAAGGAATGACTAAATTATAAAACACATCCAGGAGTAAGTTGCAAATCTTTACTGAGTCCCTAATGTTTTCAAACCATCATATGGATACATGCTGTCCTAATATGTAGGTGTGACATAGGAAATAACAGAAATTTAATTCAGTGGAAATTTCCTTAATGAGTCTAGTGTATCAACTTTATTACATTAGGTGTTGGGGAATGCAAAGGAACAGAAGACATGGTCTTTATCTTTGCTGAATTTATGATCTAGAGATGAGCTTATGGAAGACAAAGCTGCTAACAAGTAGTAGACTGGGGGTTTGCTGGTAATAATAGTTAATATTTAGCATTTAATGCTATTTTATCAGCTGTCCTAGTGCTTTATGTGGCATTATCTCATTTAATCCTTACAACTCTATATAGGAGGTAGTATTATTATCCCACTTTATAGATGATGAACCTGAAACTCAGGAAGGTTAGGTAACTTCTCCAAGATCACATGCTTAGTAAATGGGTAGAGGAGCCAGTATGAAGACCTAAACCCCATAGTCCTTAAAGTTCATACTCAGATAACAGTAAAAATAAGGTACACCAAAGAGAACACAATTTATTCAAACTTGGGTTGAGCAGATGTTATGGAGCTTCAACTTGGCCTTGAAGGATGGGTGTGAATAGAGATGGACAACGTCATTGCTTTCAAGACTGACGCAGGTAGAGGAGGCTAAAGGAGCCCTTGAGAAAATAGAGAAGAGTGAAGTGTTGTCACATGTGTAGGTGGTAGCATGAGTGGAACAGGGTTTGTGAAACTGAGAAAAGTAGTTAGAATCAGATATGATGGCCTTGAGTTTGACCCAAAAGAGTCTAGACTTTTCTCATTTGGCAGAGCAGAGTCACTGATGTGTTGTGAACCAGATCAAAGCTGTATATTTTAAGATTGATCTGGCAGCTGTGTGTAAAAGGAATTGGAGTCAGGAGTGAGAAGAGGAGGGGACAAGTTAGGAAACCCCAATATAGGTAAGGCAAATGGCACTGGTAGTCTGAATTTGGGTTGCAACATGAGAGCAGAGAATAGGAAATATGGAAATGGACAGGATTTGGCACTGCCTGGATATGAAGAGTATGTAAGGAGAAGAGATGACAACATGTCAAAAGTTCAAAAAAGCAAATGTCATCCATAGTGCAGAGGAAGCACATGTCCTTGTCCAGTTAAAGCACTACACTAGGAGATGAGATGAGGGGAGTTAAATGGGAATAGTGCAATTGGTGGGGACACTTTAAAGCACATTGTTAAAGGCTTGGATTTGCATGTGTACCAAACTAGCACTTTTCATGGTGCAGTGCAGGGATTGGTTATTGTCTTGACCTACAACCAAATATTGATGCCCATGTTTCTCAAATACTTGAGTTGAGCATGCATATCTTTAATAAAAATCAAAATGTGGCATTTAAATTGTGATTTTTATTTTTTAGGAATTGAAATGGTGTATGTGTCTATGCCTAACTTTTATAACAAAAATTATGCATATATATAGCTTGTTATAAATATACAATATTTTAAAGGAACTATAAGCCCTAGTTGTTAAATTGTGCTCTAAGGTATATACTTTCTTCCTAATTTAGCATGATAATATAAGACAATAAAATAGCATGATTTATCACTCTCTTTTCTTTTTTTTCTAATTAAAGTTTATTGGGGTAAACTTTATTAGCAAAGTTACATAAAGTGTACAATTCTGTAATACATCATCTATATATCACATTGTGTGTTCACCACCCAGTGTCAGTTCTCTTTCCATCACCATATATTTGATTCCCTTTACCTCATCTACCACTCCCTCTCCCCTTAACCCTCTGGTAACCACTAAACTGTTGTCTGTGTCTATGAGTTTTGTGTCTTCATTTGCTTTTCTTGTTCTTTTGTTGTTTTCAGTCTATATGCCACATATCACTCTCTTTTCTTACTAAGTTTTATTTTTTTCTTTGATTTTTTTATTAGTCAAATTCAGGTAGTTCTAGCTTTCATATGAATTTTTCTTTGTCTTTTCTATTTTTTAATAGATGACAGTGCAGAAGAAGATGTTGACATGAAAGAAGATTCAGGTATTAAATTTATAATTTAATTGTTAGAGGAAGGGCAAGGATCGTTTTGTTGCTTATGCGCACTTCATATTTTTAAAGAAAAGACAAAATAAGGTTAATAAAATAGAAATGTATGGCCAAGGTCAAATAATAAGGAAATAGCTGTGCTAACTCCTATAGCTAATGCAATTAGTGCATTAAACATTAAACTTGACTGAGCTTTCTGACAGCTAAGGTAAAAATGAAACATGATGTTGTAGCTAATGCAGTTGTGTAACAAATCACCCCAAAATTAGTGGCTGAATACCCATTTCTTACGCTCATGTATTCAGTGGGTCAAGAAGTCAGACAGAACACAGCAAAAGTGATTTGATTACCTGTTCCACAAGGCCTGAGGCCTCCGCATCTAGGGACTGGAATCATCTGAAGATTCGCCCACTCACATGTTTGGCTGGTGATTGACACTGGTTATCAACTGAAACCTTAGCTGAAGCAGTGTTCTGAACCACCTGTGCATGACCTGTTTATGTGACCTGGGTTTCTTCACAGCAAGGTGTCTAGGTTCCAAAGTGGTTTCTCTAGAGAGAGCAAGCAAGCTAGAGGGAGCTGAGCCCTTTGTATGATTTGGCCTCAGGGGCCCAATAGCATCATTTTTACCCAACTCTTTTCTTTGGAACATTCAGTCAAGCCCACCCAGACTTGGAGAAGAGAAAATAGACTGAATCTTCTGATGGGTAGCAGTGAGGTTCTGCAAAGTATGTAGGACCTGAAATGTGATCATTTTGGGAAAATATAATACACTTTGCACATGTGACATATTGCTCATACTATCAGAAATTAAGATGCCTGCCAACTCCTCAAGAAAGACCAGTGTTTAATGAGAGAAATGTAGTGGCTTGAAAGCATAGGCCCTGGAATATGGTAGCCACTCATTATGTGACTGATAATGAATGCATGCATCAATAGGACTGAATTCAATCCTAGCTCCATCATTTATTGACTTTGGACAAAAAGAGTCTTTTCTCTGTAACCATCAGTTTACACCACTGGGGGCAAAAACTCACCATACATATAGTCTTGTTTGGGGAATTAAATTATATCAAACCTGAAGTGTTTCTTGGACCATAGCAAACACTTACTAAATTATTGCTTTTTTCTCTCTCATTCTAACAGATATTGGAAGGGTATAGAACTTAATTCTATAGTATAAGAGTTCCATGTTCCCCATTTTAGCAACTACACTACTCTAGACAGGAAATGGGGTCAGGTTTCAAAATGAAAATGGATATTTTAGAGGTCCTAATTTTATATAACTTCCTAGTCAATGTCAGAACTCCCTACAATCACTGACAACCTCAGTCTGAGCAGCTTTATTAACAGGGAACTCTTTAAATTCTGAGGCAACCAATCTCATTAGGTGAGGTTTGGTTAAAATTGTCCTTCTGGTTAATAGTTAAATCTCTCTCTCTCTCCTGACCTCTCAATATATTTGTGGAGAAATAACGCTAGCTCCTTTTCTTCATAACAGTTCATTGAAACAATGATCACAGCTACTATCTAAGATTCTTCTTTAGTCTGAACTTGTCTGATTCCTAAAGTTCCTTTGGTCTCCCCAGGACAATGGATCCAGAGGGCATGAGAAGTAGAGGGAGGACCTAAAAGTCAGGAGCAGGAGTGAAGAAGGTGGAAGAGAGATGATAGCAACAGCTGACAGTTCCCTATCTGTATTCCCTGGACACTCACTGTTGCTTTACAATACCAACAGCTTTCCAAGGAAAGTTCTTGTGATTCTCAGATGAGCGCTTTTCTCTGATGATGAAAGCAAACTCATAATACCAGGAAATTAATTTCTCTGGAGCATCCCTTAACCACTGATCAACAAGAGGTGATCAGTACTCCTGAAGGACACATCGGAGGCGTATTCTATTCCAGCACTGTTCATTAGCAAAATAATGTGAACCTCTAATGTGAGCCTTATGTATGATCTCAGATATTTCTAGTAGTCACATTGAAAAATGTAAAAAGAAACAATTAATTTAATAATATTTATGTAATAAAATACAGTAATGCCTTGGTTTGCGAGCATAATTCTTTCCAGAAATAAACTACTCATATTGCAAGACATTGCTCATTTTCCACATTAAAATGTATTAGAAATGTTTGCTCATCTTGCAGAACACTCGCAAAACACGTTACTCACAATCTAACGTTTTACTGTATATGTAAAACATTATCATTTCAATGTAAACAATATAAAAATTATGTCAGATATTTTACTTATTTTCATGCTGTTTTTGAAATTTATGTTTTACATTCACATCTCAATTCAAACTAGCCACATTTTAAGTACTCGTGGGAAATATGTGGTACTGAACAGCAAGATTCTATATCATTGCCCAGAAGTCCCCAGTATAACTGAGCCCTGATTGTCCACAATGGAACTTGCTGGTTAGCATACCCAGTGTTGGCTGCTTTCCCTTTGTTGTCTCACTTCCCTACTTCCCTCTGGTGTTTCCTGAGTTAATCTCTCAAATTAAATACTAGCACTGAAACCTTTGTCTTAGTGTCCACTTCTGAGACAATCTGAGCTAAGACATGGACTCTGCTAGCCTTCTGTAAAACATAAAGCCCTAGACAAAATTTCAACTACAATGTCAATTCTTATATCCGTGTAGGATGTCTCATTATTTAAAAGAACCATATGTTGAAAAAAGACTTTAAGCGGTCACCCAATTTTGGATTACATCCCATGAATTTAATGTTAGTGTTGGCTATCTTCATATAGCCTGCTCACATGAAGTATCCTTGGAAAATCCTTCAGCGCTGGGGAGTACTGCCCTTTCAGCTAGCCAGCACAAGGACCTTATCTAGCTAAGGATCATTTGCCTAAATGCCATAAGTATACATTTCTAGACAAAGGGAGTTAACTTCTTAATGAAATGCAGCTAGCTATCCAAACCACTGAGTAATTTTAAGGAAATCATTATTAATGCTAGTGCAGAACCCACAAGGTTGGAGTCAGCATTTGAAGTTTAGGGGGTTTAATTAGATAATCATTTCTGATTTTAGTTCTATCAGCTTCCTGGGGGTTTGTCTCTAGCAGCTGGATGCAGCTGTTCAAGTCACACTCGATGGCCAAGGATGCTGTCACTCAGGCAGAATGGGCTTGGAGCGCTGCTCTTCATTTTCTATTATCTGAGGGCTGAAATCATGGGGGATTTCTGTGCTGGATGGTTCCATCATGCACCAGCTGGCTTTGCCAGACATTGGTGAACAGTCTGGCTTTGGTTCCTATCTGATACTCAGGCATGTTGGTCTTCAAGATGGGTATGAACCAGCCTCCCAAGACAATTAACTCTGCCTTCCCTCTCTCCTGCATCACCTCTTCTCACAGAAGTAGAAATGCTGCAGGGATTTTTAAGAATGCAGTTGACAATAGTGAAGGGCTACTTGGGTGAATCAACCAGCCAAAAAATGCTAGTGAATGATAGTGAATAATACTACTAATTTGAATATCAAAAAACAGTGAGGTATTAGTAAACTGACTCTCTGGTTGGATGGAGCCCCAGTTTGAAGAGTTTGCAGATTTCTTTGGTTTAAATACACCTACCATGGTGTTGTTAAAGCTACCACACATGTGGTCAATGGATGTCAGTTGAGAGAGATAAGTACAATCAGGTGATGCAAGCTGTCTCAAGTCAGCCCCAGCACCTCTACTGAGTCATATTTTAATTGAGCACATACCTTGTGCCAATCACTCAACATACATGAACTCATTTAAGATATGCAACAACTCTAGGGGGCAGGGACATTATTACCTGAGGCTTAAGGGGGATTAGTCCCTGGCTTAAATAACAGAGGCAGAATCTAGATGTGTCTGAGCCCGAAGCTCATGTTCTTAACTCTTGTGCTCCTGTCTCCAGATTCTAATGGTAAATAAAGGCAGGAACATCTCAGGTGGTGTCAAACAAGGTCATCCTCAAGGTGAGGCTCTGCCCCAGTGGGAGGTGGTAGAAACAGACTGGCTTAAATGCATGGGATTCCTTTTAAGTCCTTTCATCCGTATCTTTAGCCCTAGTATACTAAATATCTCCCAATATCTTTTCATTTCCAATACCGTGAAGTGCTAAAACGGATCCCAACCTGAACCAGCAGGAACAGAATACAGCAGCTACCTATGGCAGCTCAACCACACGAGAGCCAGGAGCATAGCTGAGTTCCTTAGGAGGCAAAGCCACACTCATGGCAAAAATCCAGGTTTCCTTCTCTGCCAGAAACAGAGTCAACATAGATAATGAGATACACTGTCAAGGAGAAACATAAGGTGATTTTAAGGAATGTTTCTTTAGCTTCCCCAGGTCTTGAGGGAGAGTTGTTCCTGCTGAGCCACAAGGAAAAACCTGAGCATAAAAGCCATATATATCACTGACTTTCATTTGAGTGCCTCCATGGGTGTTATGAAGTGATGCTATACTTGCGTCATAGATGACTCTTCATAACTGACATGTATCCGTGTCCACAGACTACAACTTTTTTAAAAAAATGAAGTACTAGTACTTTGGAGGTACTTAAATATCTCAAAATGTGGGCAAATAGATGTCTTTTTAAAACTCAACCATTCCTCCAAAATTCCCATATATTGGGTTGTCGTAAAAGTCATGACGCATTTTTGCAACAAAAAACATAGAAAAAAATATGTTATGATTTTTCTGACAACCCAATAGGTAGTAAAACAAGAATTAAGAATTTTTTTCTCACACACTTTCAGGAAATGCTGGTTTGTACTTGAATTCCCAGCACTGGAAAAGCTACACTTGGTCTATTTGCAGATATCTTTCAGAGGCATGCTAGGGTTAAAGTCTCAGAAATTTCCCAAGGAGATTGCAAATGTTGCTTTGCCCATTTTCCAAATCCCTTTGAGTCCCGCAACTGTGCTCAGTGAGTTCTTCCATACATCTCACGTCTGTTTTTGCTGAACCCATTCTGAAGGGCCAACATCCATCTGACAGAAGTGTAGGGGAATTGCTAATGGAGTCATTGGCAAAAATTTTCCCCTTGGCTGTGGTAATGACCTGACATGTACCGACCTACAACCACAGTAAGCCTAACCTGGTGGCCCAAAACCTTTGTAGTCCATAATGCCAGCAGTCTTAATAGCAAATCTAGCAAATGCATTTTCTGTTCTCTTCCTTTTTTAATAAATGGGGAGAAAAAAATGAGTCACCATAGCTCTGTCATGTAATTTTAGAATGCTGGCATAAGGTGACAGATGCTAAGAGAGGGAGAATTAGGCACAGACAGCATTATATCTGGGCTTTAAAGAAAGGCCTGGGTGAAGGGGGAATAAAACAATTTGAAATGCAATTCTCAAGGCACTGCTGGGTACCAGGGATACAAAAAAGATTGGGAAAGATAATTGTCCTTTTCTCATGGAACTTATATCCTCAGGTGTGGAGTAGAGGAGGGAGGCATGCAATAAAGAAATAAACAAAAGGACAAGATAATTTCAGATACACCACGTGATGTGTTCGAGAGAGATTTCCTTTGCAGGGACTCATCAGATTAGGTAGTCAGGGAAGGCCTGTTTTAGGGGCTGAATTTGATCTGAGATTAAAAAGTGAGAAGGAGGTAGAATATGAATATGTTTAGAGGGAGCGGAGAAGAGCAGAAAGTGCAAAGGCTCTGAGGGAGGAATCAGCCTAATAGTGAATGAAGAACACAAAGGGAATCAATAAACCTGAAGCCAAAGAGCAAGTGGGAAATGAAGCTAGAGCGGTAGGCGGGGCCCAAAAACATGTTGTCCTGGTTCGTGAAACTGGATTTGGATCTTATTCTAAGAGCTGTGTTGCTCACATGATCTGGTTTCTGTTTGAAAGATAACTCTGGCTATTATATGGAGAATAGATTGCAGGGAGGTTAAAAAGCTAGAATTTAGAATTCAAAAGGTTATTGTAGTAACCCTGGTAAGATATGCTTCTGTTTTGTACTAAAGTGATGATTGCTAAGGATGAGCACAGCGGATGAATATGGGATGTATTTTGGAGCAGAGTTGATGGGACTTATGATAGAAGTTATGGTTGCTTTATTGGAAAGGTGAATGAAGAGAAATGATATCTCAGTTTGGGGGCTAAATTCCTGAGTAGATAGTAATACCATTCCTTGAGATGTGGAACACTATGGGGAGAACAGGTTTGCAGACATCAAGAACATGATGTCCTTTTGTTTGAAACTAAAATTTTAGAGATGAAATTACACAATGGTAACTATCAATTAATCCAGGAAGTTTTAAATTCTCCTGAAGAAAAAATAATTTGACATTGCTTTATGGAGAATTTTTAATTTAAAAAAAAAGGACGTAAGATTTCACATTTGTATTTCACATTAATGACGGCAACAAAAAATGTTTAAGCTTGAACTTTAAGTTTAAGTCTATTTTCATTGCAGAATCACAGGTATTTGTGAAAATTTAGCTTGGCCATGTTGACAGATGAATCTGCAATCAGGCTGCACTGTATGTGTGGGTTTACTAAGGAAAAAAAATCTTTAAACTAACATGATATTGAACCCTACTGGTAAATACTTAAATAAAAATTTTTTAAATCTTTGTGCTTCCAGAAGGGTTAGAGCCAAAAGGCCTCTCTCCACCCCACAAGAAGAGCAAAGCAAAGAAGCCAGAATGTTCAAAAGATTCCAGTGAAGGTAAGTCCTGCTCCTCCTTTCTTTAAAAATTATGCCAAGAAAAGAAATTACTCTTTAATTTTTGAATTATGTGTATCCTGTCATGTTCAGATATTTCTAAGGGTTCAAAAGTCACAGAACAATTCTTTTTCCTTTCCTAATATGTTTCTTCTCCCCTGAATGTCAGGTCGAAAAATAAAATTTGAGTTTAATTTGTTAAGGTAAAAACCAAATTTTAAAAATCTTCTCAGTGTGATGTATTTTCCGTTTCTGCAAAGTGTGGAGTTGTGGGTAGTGCTTACCAGTTAGGTGTTCTGAAATCATGTAAGGATGAAGGCTGAGCTCTATCATTTGTCTTTCTCACGAACACATTCTGAATCTAGACTCAAACCTCAGCCATGGATGCAGGAAATGTTTCCCGTCTTTAGTGTTCTCTTCCATTTTCTAGAAGTCAAAGTATTTTTGCATTTATGCATTAAATGGCGGGTCCAATTGGGTTCATTTTTATAAAGAAATTGTTGTATCTCTTTTATAACACCAGTACCACTTATAAGATATTCAATTTTTTCTTTCGAAATATAGATGAGGCTTTTTTTTTCTTTTTAAAGTAAACCTCTAACCTAAGAGTACACATAAACTTCTCAAAGAGGAATGCATTTATGTCTCCTACTTTATACCTTGGAAGCCCACTTCATCCACTGTGGAATGGAGAGTATAATAATACTGATGGTGTCAGTTTGGGTCTTCCAGGAAGAAGATACCAAGATAAAGTAGGAGAGCAGGGAATTTACAGGGGAACATGTGTGAAGGATAAAAGGGGAAGAGAGCAGGAGAAGGAAGGAGGATTAGCTAGGAAGAGCCTCAGTCTGCAGTGCAGTCAGACAGTCTAGGGAGGTCCAGGGTAAGGGTTGGGCATTAGAGGAGCCATGCATCAGGCAGAAAAGGCTGGGGTCTCGGGTCCCCTTCCCCCTGCTAGCTCACTGGCTGCAAGCAGCCTGGGGAGAAAGTGGCCTTGGCATGAACATTATCCTGCATTGAATCTCAAAAGTGTGGGCACGGGAAGCTGTCAGCTAACTTCGTTCCCCGTAGCAGGTTCTCTCTTGAGCAGCTCACCTCCATGACTGCACAGCATCTGTTTGAGTGTCAGTGTTCTGAATGATAAGTAATGACATGGCTGTCATCCTCATCTGGTTCAGAACCCATTGAAAAGGCAAAGCTATGAGAGAGTTTGAAATAAAAATATATATAGCTTTATTACTAATGAGGTTAGACCAGAGTATTTGGTTGCCCTGCCAATAGATAGGCTTCCTAATGCTGTATTTCACTCCTGAATGTAAAAGACAACCTCTGTCCCTTCAGTAGCAAGTACTGGTGTCCTGGTTATCATTGGCTGCCTGGACAGAGTCTGCCCTGATGAGCTTATTTTATAGAGAGCAGACCAGGACATGCCCTCTCTGGAGACTCAAGATGGAACTGTTCCTCTCCCAGGCGCATCATAAATGAGGGAATGAGGTGAAGGCACAACAGTAAATGGTCTCTGCCCTCTGGGTGAGGAGAGAGGGATAAACATTTCCAACTAATAATAAGCAATAAAAATTGTATGTATAAAGTACCTAGCACAGGTCCGACTTTGTATTAGTAATGACTATTATAATTACTATCCTAATCAGGACCTCAGTAGGGTACACACTGTCCTAATTCACTGAAATGTGCTTGAAAGTTCAGAATCATTCAAAGAACACTTAAAACCATGGAGAAGGCAACACTCTAACTGGCCCTCGGTGCTAAGTTTTGTTAGTATCTGATTGGTAGAGTAATCAAGGCTTCAACTTCCTGCTGCAATTAAGCTATTTTCTGGACAATCTCTTAAGACCATGATTGGAAAATGGATTAGAGGCAAAACGACAATTGCCTTTTTCCTGGATAGGCTCTGCCTCACTGAGTGATTCCCATTAAATGCACAACCTATGTCAAAGGTCGTCTCCATAGCCTGAGTCTGTTGTCATTTGCAAGTATCAGATGGTGGGCCTTAAAATGCTGCAGTTATGTCACCTTTAACTAAAAAGGGAGTTCCTCCGAGTTATTCCTTCAAATATGTGAAAATTTCTTTTACTTCCTAAATAATTTGCTTTGTTTAGGCATATCATTCCATAGCCCAAATATGATTAAATAATATGGCTTCACTTCACCCATATACGTGGTCTCAGAATCTGCTCTGAGTCACAAAAATAGGATCACTATGAATTTGTTACCAAGGACACTCTCTCTGTGGCCACATGGTGAAATGTAAATGTTAGTCATTCTACAGGAACATGGGAATTGTACATTTGTTCCTAAGAGGCCCTGAAAGACAAAGGAGTAAAAATTGCTGGAAAAAGAGAGAGATGGGGAGTGTAATCTGACATGCCAGTGGTAGATGATTCCATGATAGGGCACTCATTATTTATTAAAGTTTTTATTTTGAAAAAATGAACATGTCCTAAATTCATGTGTTGCATATGTCTCACTTTCTCTCATGATTCAGAGTTAGAATCATTCTTTCTTACTGGATATGCAAATGGATATTATATCACTAGGTAGAGGGGAGAAAGTGGATTATGACCCTTCTCTGTAGTCTTCTTCCCATTTGTAGAGTTATCAATCCTTTTTCCAACTTGGCTATCTCTCTAATTTTTTTTTTTTGGTATTTTTATTTATCAGTTACTCAGCTTAACTCCCTATAGCTTAAGCTCTTCACAGTTTTCTCATACCTTTGGGTTTCCTGCCCTGCTTCCGACCCTCACAGGTACTACTGATTACCTCAGCTTACCTTATAATATACATTCTCAGACATGATCATAGAGTGGAGTTGAAACACAAACTCACCTAGATTTTCCAGCATATAAAATCATAATAACTGTATTTAGATCCAGTAGAAGAATTTTGAGAGCATATGGTCAAACTTTCTCATTCTGCAGAATTTTTTTTTAAAATACAGACTGCAAATGGTTCTTTAACTTGCCCAAGTCCATGCAGTTTGATTATGTCAGAATCTCTCTCTTTTTTTTTATTCTAGAAATAGCACAGCTTCTCTAATGTTTTTCCCTTTCCCCCTTCTAAAAATTAGAACTAGTTTTATTGAAGGGGGAAATGTTGCCATCATTGCAGCCTTGATTGAAAGCAGTATTACTTCAGAAATATTTTGCTAAAGTATTGAACATCTAAATAAAAAGTCAAGTCCTTAATGCACTTACTTGCATTTTTTATACTGTGGACTTTTGGATATAGAGCTTTATTCTCATTATTTTGATTGGAATTTTATGGACCACACTATACTTTGATTTGACCCACTGCAACACTATGCCTATAATGAAAGGATTAGTAATTTTAGATCCCTCATTAATTGGCTAGCATTTGATATAAATGATAAGGCTATCTATGAATCAAAATCATAGGCATAATTGCCTAAAAAAAAAGCCTGGTTAGTACCAGTTCCATCAATTCCAACTCCCAATAATTTAGGTGACTTGTTTTTTTTCTTACAAAAATTATTGGAAGAATATTTTAGAGAATTTAGCACTTTTAATAAAACATGCTTGTCTCACACTGTTTCCTCCATCCTTCAGTAGTCAATCTTCTAGAAGTCCCTTTAGTGAAAGTCTTTCAGGCTTTGTTTGTCTAAACATGTTATTGTTTTGCGCTTTTTTTAAGGCAGTTTTGCTGGGTAAAAATTTGAGGTTGGTGGTTGTTTTCCTGCAATATTATAAAGATATTTTTTTCCTACAGTCTTATCAATTCTGTACTTGTTAAGAAATAATCTCTCAGCCTAATTATTATTTCTTTTTAGGTTACCTGTCTTTTCTTTCTGGCTTTGTAGACAATCTATTCTTTATCTTTGGTGTTGCTGTGTCACTATGATGTACCTCAGTGTGGATTTCTCTTTATTCTTCTTAGAGTTTGCTTTGTTTCTTGGATATGTGAATGGGAATTTTTTATTAGTTCTGGAAATTTTTCACGTTATTGCCTCACCAAATATTACTGCTCCACTACCTCCTATTCTTTCTTTCTTTGTCCTTCATGACTTTTACCCTACATTTTTGTATGTCTCTGTCTCCTTGTGGTTAATTTTTTCAAGTCTATCATTCAATTTGCTAATTTTCTATTCAACGTTAATCTGATGTTTAACTCTTCTCTGAGTTTTTCATTTTAATTATTATAGTTTTTATTTTAACAAGTTGTACTTGGTTCTTTTTAAAATATTCATGGCCATTTTTTTATTTGACACATAAAATATCTTTTAAAATAATCTGTATCTGAAATTTCAATGTCTTCAATCTATTATATGTAAGTCAAATCTGTAGTTTATTGTTTTTGCAGACTCATTGTTATTCCCTTGTATATTTTGTCTTTTTTGGTTGTCATGTTTCTTGCAAAAATTTTTTGAAGTTGGGTTAAGAGCTCATTTATTTACATTTTGTTTTCTAAGATATCTGGAGATATTGCCATTTTAGGAATACCTTAAACTACAAAGTTTGCTCAAAATTTTGTTTTTTTGTTTTGTTTTGTTTGCTACTGTCCTTAAACTCATATTAGTGTGTGTATAAGATCAGAAAATCTCAACAAAGGCTTTTTTCTTCCTTTTTCCCTCTCCAACCAATGCTGAAACTGAGACAGGCAAATTTCCCACTATATTTAGGACCAAATCACTGGCCCCTCTGTGCCTCACATATGTGGCTCATTCAAATCCAAGCTCTAGCTAATGGTTCTCAAAGAGTATTCCTGTATTTGCATCACCAGTATAACCTAGGAACTTGTTATAAGTACCAATTCTAGGGCCCCATCCCATACCTACTGCATCAGAAACTCTGAGGTGAGGCCCAATAATCAGATATATGCTCAAGTTTGAGAACTACTAATCTGGAGTCTAGATGATCTGGAATTGGCAAATACCTCAAAGCAAACAATAATTTCAGTGCTTTCTTGCAAACCTAGATTCAACCTCCATCATTTTCTGCTTCTAAGAAGTTCCCTTGCAAAAGCAT